TGTTGCATCAAAGTATCTTCAAGATCGTAATTATTCCAATCGTGCTTGGTCTAAAATATCTGGTCTTTCTATTAAGGAGATTAATGCAAATGAAGTTTGCTTTCTCAAGCTTATTGATTACAACCTTTTTATAGCTGAGGACATTTTTAAACGCTGGAGTACTCTTTTGCTAACTCATATTCAAGCTATATCAGGACCAGATATATCAAATCCGGAGGCATTTAGGAATGCTGAAAATCAGAGTGAGGTTACTAGATTTCGTGAAACTTTAAGATTAATGGACCCAAAGACCATGGAATGTAAACGTCCCCTCGGTTTTGGAATTTATCCCATCACTCCTGCAGTGAGTGCTCCAGGATCACCACGCGAATAATCTTAGGATATATCGCAAATTCCAATTTGTTTCATCTAAGGCTTGGACACTCTTTGGATTCATATCTTCAATTTGTTTAAGCTTTTAAATACATTAATACTATATAAATTACATGTAAGATTTTGTTGTATTCAATATATACATATATATATGTAAATTTTAAGTATATATATGAACTTACAATATTTTCTTATATGCAAATAAATTATATCATTATTCCAATTATTCATGGCCATCAATTGTTATACGATAAATTTGAGGTGACTACTTATCTTGGAACAAATAATAACTTTTTATACCAGAATGTCTGCGATACTGATTTCGATATCAAAAGGTTCAAAGGCGTATATACTTTGTGGCTTATCTCTTACAAATAGCGGTAGTTTCTGATGATAAAAGCTTTTCGATGACCATAAAAAATGAATTTTTTGGAATGACACTTTCTCAATGATATCGGCAATACTTTGATGTTTTATGACCTTTTAGACCCATGGTTTCCTCGAATAAAAACTTTAAACTCACCTGTCGCTATTTATTTCATTACCACCTGAAAAAAAGAAAATTCTATGTACGTATGTACGTACAGTACGCAATCTAAGAAACTGATCCGCCAATTGGATTGTTACTAATGCTAATATTGCAATACTATTATTATGCTTAAGAGTAGAGGGTACTATTTTAAAATTATATATAAACTTAATGGTAAATTTGTTTTATATTTAATTTTATGAAAAATTTATTAAATAAATTAATTTTAACTATTATATAAAGTTTGTAGAGTAGTTTTCTAATTTTAATAATAGTAAATATATTAATAAAGATAGAGTATAATTTATAAATTATATATAAAATTGATGGTATTTTATTTTATTCTTTTAAATTAAACAACATTTTTTTAAGAAATTATTTTTATATTAAAACTTAGTAAGATATAATTATTTTAAAGTTTAGATAGTATATATAAATATTTTTTTTAAATTAATATTGTTATATTGTAATATTGTTAATTCTTTAAATAACAAAGTTACTTAATTAGATGTTTGAGTAGTTAAGAAATATATATTAAATTTAAGATCTTGATATCCTTTAACTATTTCTAAATGTAGCTAATAGTGACTTGCTACACTAGTAGAGTATAATTAATTAAGATAATATCTAATCAAAAAGCTTGTTTGACTACTGCTCTATAATAGAATATCACCAATTTGATAACATCTTCTCATAAAAAAATAATAAAAAACAATTATTTAAAAGATATATAAAAGTATAGGAGAATATGATAAAATATATATCAAGAAAAGAAAAGAATAAGAAAAAATAAAAAAAATTAAACCAACTCTCCTTGATGATCACTTGAACCAACTAGTACCAAAAGCAAGTTGAAGACTCAAGGTCAGAAGTTAACAACAACTTGAAGTTTTCTCAATACAAACTGTTGTCAACAAAGTTTTTAAATATGATACACTAAGGAGTAGGCGTTTTGGA